AAGAGTGTCTGAGAGAGGCAATAATTAGGAACTGGACCAGCGTGCAGGGTGTGTGAGAGATAGAGAACCAACATGACCTCTTGTCGGTTGTTCTGCAAGACAAAACTTGCAGTGTAGTCATCACTCTCTGTGAGTGCAAAACAACCCCACTGTTCCTTTTGGAGGTGATTTTTATGCTTCTTGATGGATGCTAGGAAACAACACCCTCTTATTCCCCTCTCATAAATTAACACAACATTCAGTTCCCACTTGTCTCTCTTATTCTATGTCACAATAACTTGTTACTACTCTTTAATTTCCAGGTGTTTGTTATATCCTCTCTCTCTCTCTCTCTACTTCATTAGGCTTTTTGTTCTTCAAATCTAAAGTCTAATTTAGCTGCTAAGGTCTGTCTTAATTCAGACTCCCTCGGGACCCAGTTGATAGATCATCTCATTTAACATTTTTGCATTTTTCTTTATTTTGTCCTCTCTATTCAGAATTTTCTCTTTCATAAAAAAATTGTACTACTACTACTATGTTCCTACTTTTCCCTTGCTAGTGCTACAATATACGTACATTATCAGATAATAGTGTTATTGGCATTGACTAGTGAAATTTAATTGGTAGGTTTAGCACCCAGAACGTCAGTGTCAGGATAAGCACAGGAAAGAACAGTTGTAGGTGTGCAAGTAACCTTTGATTAAGCCTGTTCTTCAATTAGAGGGGATGAATTAGGGTTGAACACGTTACAGGATCATCCACAATCACAATTAAAGAAAATTCACGAGCGAGATGATGATTATTCAAGGAAAAAACTAGATTAAAACAAAAAAGGGAGGGGAATGAGATTAAGTTTAGATCTTGTTCAGATTTGATGGATATGAGAGAGCAAGATAAGGAACTAGAGATGCCTAGTACATTAGGTTATAACCTCCCCAATAAAAATTCCTCTTCTTCCAAACTATCATCACCAATAGGGGAAAAAAGTGACCAACAACCTCCTCAATCTAACACATTAATTTTCAGTGATCCACCCCAAACTTCACATCTTCACCATAATCTCTATACCCCTTCTCTTCCACCAAACCCACTTCAACTTCCACAATCTCAGCGACCCAGAAGAGATCCAGATCCAAATCCTATTTCTCCCCCTATCATCATAACCACTCCAAGAACATCACTACCACAACCTCACACAACAACAACAGCATTCAGATACCGAGAATGTCTGAAGAATCATGCAGCAAGCATGGGAGGCCACGTCACAGATGGGTGTGGAGAGTTCATGCCAAATGGAGAAGATGGCACCCCAGAATCTTTCAAGTGTGCAGCTTGTGATTGCCACCGCAATTTTCACAGAAAAGAAGCTGAAGGAGAGCCACAATATGTTCTCAACTACCACCACACTTACTCCTACAAAAACAATAGGAACATTATTCATTCTCCACAATCTCACCTTCAGTTTCCCATACCCCACCACCACCTTCATGGGGTGGTGGCTGCCACCCCTTCTAGTGGGCCGATCCAGCCCGTGATGTTGGGCTTAGGGGGAGGCCCAGCTGAGTCCTCCAGCGAAGATCTCAACATGTTTCAGACCAGTGATGGAGGGCAATTGTTATCGGTGCAGCCACCACTTTCATCTTCCAATAAGAAGAGGTTCAGGACCAAGTTCACACAGCAGCAAAAGGATAGAATGATCGAGTTTGCTGAGAAACTTGGGTGGAAGATCCAGAAACAAGATGAACAAGAGTTGCATCAATTTTGCTCTCAGGTTGGTGTAAAAAGACAGGCTTTCAAGGTTTGGATGCACAACAGCAAGCAAGCCATGAAGAAGAAGCAAATGTAAGCCTAGTATAATTTAATTTAATTTAATTCCATCTCTAGATTGTTGATTTTTTTTCTTCTTTTATTTTTCTGTTTAATAAAAATACTTTCAAATCTTAGGTGTGAATTATTATACAGATAAGGAAATCGGTAGCTAGCTAGATACATTAGTTGAAAGCTGCTATTATGTATTCTCATCTGTATGCTATTAATTAATCTTTAATCAAACCATTCAATTTCAATCTGCAATCTTCTGTGATGTGTTCTTTCATATATAAACAAACACAGGCATCAACGAAAACATTACCAGTTATTTCTCACCTCTTCCTTAAGCATATAAGAATAAAAAAGGTGAAGCATTAAGAGAGACAATAATGGAGATTATGTTGATAAGAAATGGTTGTAGTGATGAACTTGGATATTATTACGTTAATAAGCAATAAGTTATGCTGCCTAGCTAGGACAGTGTATTTCATGCATTATCCTTGGAAGTACTTTGATGTGTTTGATAATCATGGAAACCTCTCTCGGTTCGTGAACCCATTCACTTTGTTGCAAATCAAAGTTAAGGGCATCGGAGAAAATAGGATCCCACCACCACATCCACCCAACCACACAATTTTGTCAAATTTGTCCTGTAATAGGACACCGACAGATAAATTAGGAGACAGTACCCCCTCTTTTCTCAAAATGCCTTTCTGAGGTATTGAATGTAGTGTATGGTCTAAAGGAATAAAATCATGACATAACCAAAGTGAAAAGAAAAAAAAGAGAAAAGGAATAGAGAGAACAAGAGCTGGAGTGTAGGACAGATATTTCACGGATTTTAGATACGTATTTCAAAAAAGTGCAATACGATTTTTCTCCATGACAAATTAATATAGGCTTAAATAAAATTGTTTCCTCATTCTTATTTATTTATTTTTTATTTTAGTTTGGATTTTTATTTTAAAATAATGTTTCATTTTAATCTTATAAAGAGTTTTTATTAGTTAAATAAATCATTTCAATAATTTTTTTGCATTAACGATGTTAATTTTGACTTATTTGACATTTTTTTTAATAATTTGTCACATATCATTAAGTTTACCAAAATTCATTGATAATTAATAGAAAAATCAATTTAATCTAACATATACACTTTAAGGTGTTAATTTTGTCTTTTGCTTAATAAGGATATATAATTCATTTATGTTAGGTTAACTCTTATAAAGAGCTAAATTAATACTAAAACCTAAAATTAGAGACTAAAATTATATTGTAGTCGGAAAATATATATGATTCAGAGTCATTTTCTGTTTGGAGTAGAATTTATGAATTTAATTTTAGATATTGTAAATCAAACTCACCTTTGGATTATCAAAATATTTTCTTTACATTTGGTAAAAAACAGCTAAGTAAAAATATATTTAATGGCTTGATCATATAAAAAAAAAATATTACTTTAGTTTTTAATTATAAGATATTTTTAACTAAATTACACTCATTAAAAAAATTAATTAATTTAGTTATGAGCATTAAATTTATTAATAATTTAAATTACTTTTTTTTTCAAAATTACCGTTAACAACTTAAATTAGCATTCTCTCTTTCCACTTAATCACTTATTGCCTAATTAGTTAACATTTGGAGAGAGATATCTATGTGTTTATTTATCTTCTCCAATCCTAATATGAGTGATAAAAATTTATCCAACTATAATTTTAAACATTTATTCTTTTTTGTTAAAAAGAATTGTAATTAGATAAAAGTATTTCATAGAAGATATAATTAATGCAACTAACAATTAGAAGAAAGTCTTATATATAGGTTTGGAAGTAGTATTAGTTAAGAAGATTTGTTATCATGTCCAGTGAAGGTGGTGCTTTAGATGATTTTTGTGATGGCTTTTATGGTGGCAATCAAGAATTTTTGGGAGAATTCAATGGAGGTACTTGCAAAGATTTCGAAGGTAAAGTCAATATCAACTTTAAACATTTTTGAAATGAGGAATAAATACATACCATAGTAAAAGAGTTCTCTTATTTAGAGAGCAATGTCGACAAAGAATGTAGCTATGTTAATTTGTTGCATTTTGTTATGTCACATGAAACTTCAAAGGAATGTTAGAGTGTCAAATGTCAAGCTCTTTAGTTTTAAGAACTATTGCTTACATCTTTGCTTAGCTTAGTATATTTAAGCTTAGTTGTCAATTGTCAACTTAGGTTTAGTCACTGTGTTTAATGTTAAGAGTAGACTTTACTATCATAAGGGGTAAATAATGTTAAGATTAGACTTTACTATTGTATGAAGCAAATTAACCATGATGCTAGAATGCTTTGGTCAAGTTAGGTCAAGATGACCTTTAGAACAATTGTCCCTAGTCGATATTACTTAGAAGAAGGAAATCTAGCTTTAGAGTTAAAGAAGTCAACATAATCCCATCGTTGGAAACAATTACCCTCAAGTTGGTGTTACTTAAATGAAGTAACATCGGCTTAAGAGTTAAAGAAGTTTGGATGACCTTGAAGTGTTTGAAGAATTACCATGTGATAGTTACGTTTACACATGTATACTTCTTATTGACACGTCTTTTCATTTTTTATTTGACTATTTATACACTATTATGTTTTTAATGCAAGCTATCATTCTCTTATTTTTGAAATTTGAAACTTTTTAGAATTTTAGAAATGTCCTTTTCTTTTCCTCTTGTTCACTTCATCTTTTCTTATTAAACGCTTCCTTTTTTTTCCTATTAATTTTTATTTTCTTTCCATTTTCTCCAACTTCTATTATTCATCCACCCTTTTGTTACTTCCGTGGCCATTTCCTAGAATGAATTGTTTGATATCATTTCCTTTCATCAACAAAACTATTTATAGGTTCAAATGAGAAAGCAAATTAGTGTTGAAATTTGATGAAAAAACTTACTTCACAAGAAACAGGTTCACAATTTACTGAAGAGGGGATAATACATGCTTCTTCCAAGAGGAGATGCTTCAAATTATAATAATATAATCTATGCCCATTATATGGAGAACGATTATCCATAGGTGTGCCTCAAGATATTCTTACTTTTCTATTTAAAAAATAATAATTATATATGGCTTCTCTCAACGAGTTTTGATTCTTGGTCGTACTTTAGACAGGTCTTTTTAGGGAGATTTTTGTTACTATGACTAGGAGATGTTATTTCTATGACTCACATTGCTATGAAATTTCTAAGTGGCGACAATGACATTACAAGGAGATAATGAAAGATAGATAATGCCATCAAAGGTATGTAGCGTACACACAATGAGTGGTTGAAAATCTTCAGAGGATGATGGATCATTATGTGTGAAAATTTGGTCATAACAAAATAAAATGTTCGGCCAATTGCATTATATATGATGAAGTACAATCTATTATTAGAGAGATGATAAGTGAATTTCATTTGATCTAGTAAATTTATCTAATATATTCATTATAATAAAAATAATTAATTAATCTGAATCAATCCATCCATTTAATTTTATAGATAGTTGCTGATTTATATATTACTTTTTCAAAAACTATTAGATTAAATAAGATGAAATATTTATTGGATTGAGATTTTAAAAGACTATTTTTACAAAAAAAAATTATTTTATAACTTTTGAAAGACTATATAAGAATGTAATAACTTGTAAAAAAAAAAGAAATAAAATATTTTTTTAAAATTATTTAATTTTAAAATATTACTTTTATGGATAGATCAAATATTCATCTATGAAAAAATTGTTAATGAATAGATTGAATGAATTTTTTTTAAAATAAATTGGTTAAATAAAATTTTTTACATAATTTTTTAATAAATCTAAATAAATTACTTTATTTATTTATTTACCACTTTATCTATTATTATAAAACAAATGACGATAATCTTTGTGATAGATGCATTTATAAATGTCGTAGGTATTTTAACATATTCCATGGTGTCTAGAAAACCCTATTAAATCTTCAAGATGAGTGATTAACTTTGACTTAAGAATTTTCAACTTCTTAACAAGTTGTAAAATATGATGTCAACTAAGCTACCAATATCCATGAACAACCTTGATACCTCCTTAGCAGATCCTCGTGATTTGGCAATATCGGGCTTAGGTCAAAATCATCAAAGCACAAAGGTTGTGCTTGTTTCTGTACCATTTTATTCTTTTCCTACGAAGAAGTCATCATAACTTCTCTCACATGTCTTTTTCTTTCATTGTTAGAAGAAACTCCTCTAAAAAAATCCTCCTGCTATTACATAAGTCGTTTCTTGATTACACTAAAAATTTTCTTGTCATTCACTATAATTCTAAAAGAGTTAATTACTTATATCCTGTCTGTGTAAAGTAATGTCTTTTTTATTTTAATTTAATTAAATGAGCAGATGAAAAAAATATTATTAACGGCTCTGATTGACCGTCAGTATAAAAAAACTTTAGACTCTGATTAACTCATTCTAAAATTACTTGATTAATCACTCTCGTTTTACGACAATTCCTCTTAGTTGCTGAAGGATTGAAATCATTGGTGCAACAATTTCTGGTAACATTGCCACAATTGATAATGGTGATGTTTATCTACCATTCAATGGTGTGATTGATGCTTCCAATTTGTCAACCCGTGACAAAGGTTAATTATGTAAGAGATTGTTGAACAAAAGTCAACTTGCAATTTCTCGTGCTCAGCGTCACGAACAAATCCTTTCATCACAATTAACGCAAAATTAAAAGAGAATTAAATATCTATTTCGACTAGTACGTACGTATACGATGTTGAGGTTGTTATCCAGACAGAAATAGGAGAACCCACTTAGTTAATGATGAGTTGCATTGCTCAAAACTATATTTAGCCGAAAATATAAGACAAATAACTATCATAATATATAGAAGTAGACAAGTAGCAGCCCAGTACAATAGGAAGGTGGTGCCAAGAGAATATGAGGAAGGTGATTTAGTATTGCAAAGAAATGATACAAGACATCCCTCAAGATAATGATAAATAAAATAGGTGCTAAAGAATATCAAACCAATAAATTTTATTTCAATGTTTTTTTTAATTAATTGTTTCTCTCTATATTTAATTATTTAATTAATTAACATTTAGAAGAAAAAAAAAACTAATCATGTAAAAATCATGTCTACTCATCTTTTTCGACCTTGATAAGAGAAAGAAATAGCTTATCTCATTAAATCTCAACATTTAATATTTTTTCTAAAAGGTTTTTAATTAATTAAATATTTTATAAGAAAAATAATTAATGCAAGAGACAATTAGAAAAAAAATTATAAAAAGAGACAAAAAATAAAGTGAAAAAATTATATATATA